TCTTCACTCTCAAGCCCTAGCCTTCACTCTCTTAAAATGGAACAAAAGATCCAAATATCAGCCTAACACAACAATATATCCTCAAAAGAAATAGCTAGGGAAAAGACCAAAATGCCCTTAATGATTCCCGGACGGATTTCCTTGTCAACTGCCCAACTTTCAAAGGCCATAACTCACTCATACGAACTCGGAATTGAGCAAACTCGGCGGCGTTGGAAAGATCATTCCACAAGATTCACAACCATAACTGGAAATACTCCTAACTCATCCTGAGCTAGAAGTTATGACTGCTCAAAGTTGGCCAAAAATCACTGATTTCTATACTTAGCCAAATTTTCCAGATTTTCAAATCCTTTCCAAAAAAAATGAAAATTTTCAAATTCTAAGCCTCTTCTTAGCTATTTAAAATTGCCGGATGTTACAAGAATGCCTCTCTATGTATGTTTTCTGCATTAAGTATATAACATACTCCTTCATATGACACTTATCTCTTCAGGTTCCCCACTAATGAGTGTCAAAGTCATGATAAGTATAATCTATGACTTAAGAACATATCCCTTATGCAAACTTAGGCGTTGTTTAAATTTGTCTAACTATTCCTCATCTTCGAGGTGATAGAAGTAGTAAATCTTGATTCTTCCCGAAAAAGTGTTCTCAGATAGAACTATCAGCATTTTGGAGACTATAGAAAGGGCTTGGGATGAGCCCGGGTAGTATGCTTTAGCCCATCAATTCAAAATCTTACATTCTTATTGATATGAATCGTGTTGTTGAGCCAATATGTGATATGCATCCAGAACCTTCTATAACTCTTCATTACATAGAACATCCATGAAAGGAAAAAGTAGGTGTCTAGATTCTTGGACAATATTGTCACCTGAAAGATAGTATAATTTAGGTTGTTCTGAAATTTATTAGTGGAATGACCATAAATTTAATATGTAATATCTAGAAGAATAGTATCCAAAATAGTGGGGATAATAAATTATCTAGGTGTAGTGTGTGTATATATATATATATATATAAATTATATATCCATTAAGTTAGAATGGAGATGATATGTCTTCAGGTGTTAACTAAGGAATAGTAAGTTGAGGTAGATCTTCTGGAAGATCTTACGATAGAAGGTAGAAAAGAAGTCATTGGTTAATGCGACTTAGATTATTATTGAACTAGGAAATGAGTTTATGATTCAGGTCATTAATAAAAGTATAAGGTGGTTTAAGATTGATAGCTCAAGGCTTTACTTTGTGATTCTGAAAAGGAACTGCTTGATGCTTATAAATCTATGAATATAGTTTTGATGTAGCTATGAATATAGTTTCGATGTAGGAATGAATAGGTAGTGGTGATGTGATATGTCAATTAATAAGGATTTTCTTATGTATTATAGTTAGATACACTATAAGATTAAGATAAACTACTATTAGTAAGAGGTTTAGGTGGACTAGTGTTTCTCAAGTTATTTATTTATCAAATAGCTCCTAAGCCAGAATAGTATGTAAAGTTGGGTTGTTATGCATGTTCGGTGCTAGACGCTAAATTTGAAATGTGAATGATCACCAAGATGGAAATAAAGGATAGTGTGGGGATAGTGATGCTTATTTTATGGAATTGATCTTGTAGGCATGAAATAATATATGTAGAATTTAGGTTTACGAATTTTCAATAAGGGTGATGGTTCAAGTATTATATAAATTTGATTTATAGGTTAGACGATGAACGGTGACTAGGTCATTAGATATAAGATATCCTTAAGCATTAGGAAGATAGAAGTGAACCCAAGGTAATACGTGGTTACACGATATTCTAGGGTTATTAAAGTGTTATCTATTCCTAGTTAGTAAGATTGTAAGTTATGGGTACTCTCTAGTTTAACATGTCTTAACAACTCATGGACTGGTTTTTTTGCAGTTGAAGAACACTCAATATATATAAACGATGGAAATGGCTCTAGATGAAATTAATATTCGTGATCATGGCGATGAAGTACTTGATGAGAATTATAAGTCAATTAAAGCTAGGTGCAAGTACTGTGCTAAAATTGTTTCTGGCTTTCATAGGCTTAAGCTCCACTTAGCAGGTATTCGTGGAAATGTAACTCCTTGCTCGGAGGTTCCTACACCTGTGAAAGAAGCATTTAATGCTGAGATTCTTGCTAAGAAGAGTTTTCAATCCTCACAAGAGATTTCGAAATCTATAGGGAGATTTTTTTATGAAGCAGGAATCGACTTTGATGCTATCAGATCACCTAGCTTCCAAAAGATGGTAAAAGCAACCCTTAGTCCTGGGCAGACAATAAAATTCCCTAGTTGTCAGGAGTTGAAAGGTTGGATCCTTGAGGATGCAGTGAAAGAGATGCGGCAGTATGTAACGGAAATCAGAAATTCATGGGCAAGCACAGGATGCAGCATCTTGCTAGATGGATGGATAGACTCAGACGGTAGAAATCTGATTAATA